TCTAATGGAATAGCATGATCACTATCACGGCTTGGGGGTAACCCTGTTGGTTCTCTAAACACTTGCTGATGTTGCTGCAGGATCCGGGTAGAACACCCCTTTCTCCACTCAGCTTGGCTTCGCCTGAATGCTCCTTCCACTCTATCAAAACCCCTTGTCCTTCTTGTTGTAAGGCCTTCATCATTATCTTCAATGATACCCCTAATTTTTTAAGCCCGAGGTCTTCCTTTAATGTCTTTACTGATTCTCCCATTCGAAACCTCATTGTTAGATGCCTCCAATTAACCTCCATGTTCCCCAAACTCCCTAACCACTGCATCCCCAATACTACGTCGGTACTGCCCAACTCCAGCGGTAAAAAATCCTCGACTATAGTCAGCCCTTGCATCTTCAGAATTACCCTCCTGCAGATGCCTTTCCCCTACACAGACATTCCAGACCCCATCACTACTCCGTAATTGGTTGTTGCAACCATCGAAAGATCTAATTTCTGCACCTCATCCAATGATATAAAGTTGTAGGTTGCCCCACAATCTATCAGTACCGTGACTTCGCAACCCCCTACAGTCCTCTTTAGCTTCATTGTGCCCGGCATAGTCAGTCCAATTATAGAGTTGAGGGACAATTCGACTGTGTCACTCACCTCAATGGGTTGCTCTTCTTTCAGCCATTCATCCCCTTCCTCTTCGCCGGAGCCATTATCCTCTACAAGAAGCACCCTTAACTCGCAGTTTCAACACTGATGTCCCACAACAAACTTCTCATCGCACTTAAAACACAGTCCCTCGTCACGTCGGAGCTGCCATTCTGCATCGGTGAGCCTCTTCACCGGTGTGTCTCTCTTCACCGAGTTCGGCTTCTCACCCACTGTCAAGATCTTTGTGGGAAACCCTTTGAATCTCCTCGCATCTGGACGATTTGAAGAGAAGCTAGGCTTGCCAAATTTAAAGTTCATGGATTCCTAGATGTTCTTAAGGATGAGATTCTTATCTTCAATTTTCTTGGCCACTTCCATAATTAAGGCTAACCCCTTTGGGTCCAACAGCCTTACCACTGCCTTACTTCTGGTTTGAGCCCGTTAACAAAGGTGCTCTCAAGCACTTCGTCAGATACTCCCTTCAGAGGCGCAGCCAGTACCTCGAATTCTCGTCGGAAATCTACCACTTTCCCACTTCATTTTATGACCAAAAATTTCTCAGAGGTTTCCCTCTTGCGTTGGACGAAACCTCAACAGTAGTTGCTCCCGAAATTCCTGCCATGTCTGGATGGGGTTTCTAGCTTCCGTCCATTGGAACCAAGAAAAAGCATCACCCTCCAAACTAACCGCAACCGCCCCCAATTTCTCGTGTTCGAACAACCTATTTACTTCGAAGTACCTCACTACTTGAAACAGGCATCCATTTGGGTTTTCCCTACTGAAGATAGGCATATCCAGTTTTCTCACCCTTCGCCAACTCTCCTCCCACCCCCGACTACTAGCTGTAGTTAATCGATTTTCACTAGCCTTTCTAGCACCCTCTGATGCCTTCCCTTTACCTGGTGTTTGGTGGTTATTCTGGAAATGATCTGTAGGTATTGACTCCCCTGTAATACAACCGGACCCGCCTTCTTCCGCCTTTCTGCTGACATTTAGCTTCTGGTGGAAAAGTGTCGTAAGGTTTTTCTAGTTTTCCTCCATCGCTTGCAACCTTTCCTCCATGGTTAGCATCATCTTGGCAATTTGCTGGGTGAGTTGGTCTATTGACCTTTCCAACCCGGGTATTTTCATTTTCACTTTCTCCAGATCTTTCTCTTTGGTCTCCACCTTGTTGTCGGTCCTCTTCTGCGCCATTAGGATCGCTGCTCTAATACCAATTGATAGAATACTAATGAAAAGAACATGCTATTTTATTGAATTGAAAGTGATTACAGGAAAATGAAATGGCAGTGAAGCCTATAGAAGGCTATAAACAAGACTCTCGAGACTTTTACTCCAAAAAAGAATGACCTCCTAATACTCCTCTAACCCCTCTTATTTTGTTGACTCTTCTAACTGAAAGTTATCCCATATTCCCCCAAAACAGAATTTGGTTACCCCTTTCCCTCCACTTCCAAGATCCTCTTCTTCTCCCTTCTAGAATATGTGAGATGAATCGGTGGCCTAACAGATTGCAACAGAGAGAATGTGATGAGGAAGAGTAACAAGCACAGAATAATTATACTCGGAAAACTGACAATCGAAGCAGCTCATGTAAACTGCACGGACCCTGAGAAGCTACCGACAGTACCAAGGATTGCAGGAGTTGTGTTAGATGCAGCAATATTTTTGCAAATTTTGAAAGGTGCTCCTACTGGCAATAACTCCATCAAATTTAGCTCTCTCAATGTTTCCATTGCAAAGGAGGCGTATGTTGTCGGTTGGTTATTATAAAGTGCACAAATATTTGGAGTCATTAAATCTTGACCTAAATCCATGGGAAGCTAGTTTTAAATAAGAGATTAGAACTATACACAATTTATCCTATAAAGATAAAGGTTAACGCATTGTACAATCATCTTTTCATTACGCTATATCATCCTTTCAAATTAAAACCATTCACTTAGAGATTCTATAATGTTCCTTCCAGATAGTAGATAAAAGATTGAGGGAACATTTAAAAGGCGCCACTGGCCAAATGAAAATGACCTTTTCCATGAATTCAAAACAATATTTCAGAAGACTGTTGGATTGGCTATGAAAATTTCATGTTTCAAACAACTAAAAAATGGATTAAGAACTATCCAAACCCTAATGAATTAGTTCAAAAATTCAGAAACACAACCAACCAAGCAATTATTTAAGGATTTGCTGTTGATTTGAATTGACTAACAGGGAAATAAACAATTACAACAAGCGAAAATCTTTTAATCTATTTGGAGTTTTCATTATATTCAGTAATTTAATAGGATAAAGTAATCTATATTGGATAAATTAACAACTTGATATCTTAACAATGGGGCTTGAACTGTAATTTGAATTAAGATTTCTGATTTTAAAATGCATGTCATCAAGCCTTATCATGTCTCAGCTTAGATCTGAGTAAGGAATCAAAATCATATTTTAAGTGCAGGTTACCTTCCGCTCAGATAGACCCATCATTTATTTTATTCATAAATTTCTTAACCTCAGAACAAGCATCATCAAGATATATGTTAATAAGTTGTTCATTGCATCTCTACTTTTTTCTAAAGCATTGGATGACTTATCATCAATAAATTTGATTGCCTTGTAAGATTATCTTTTACCATGTTACACTTACAAGAAAGATATAGGACGAACCTGGCATGAAGTGACAGTTGTACGCCCACATAATGATTGGCCATTCATTCTATCAACATCATCAAAAACAACTCCTCCATTACTTCTCTGCATAATTTAAAAAGTAACATATTGCTCTATGAAATGCAACCAGTAGTTCCATTTAGAAGATATGTTAATACCATATAGAAGTTCACTGACATGAAATTGGGCATCACATTTCCTGTTGATTTGTAACAGGTTCCAACCATATCAGCAAGTGGAGAAGAATGCTCTTTGCAAGCCTCGTTTTGAACTGAAATCGTTGGGAAGTAGTTCATCTGAAAAAGAGGAATTTCTCGAATTGAGTGGCTTCAATTCCTTTCTGTTTGGGCACGAAATAGGTACCACCCCTAGACCCCCACCTCGAACAAATCATTTTATAAGATTTCTACTGCAAAAACACGTATCAATCATATTGACAAGCCATCACACCTTTACATAGTACTAGCGCTCATTGTCCACCTTGTACCTCAATCGGTATGCAATTCCTTCACCAGCCTCCTTCAAAGAATCAAAAGTAAAAACAAGCAATCTAAGATTATTTTGTACCATATCATTAACAGTGGGACAATTCTCATCCTTCTTAGGGTCATCTTACTGGTATCACTAATATACCTGTTTTTTCTGCAACTCATGGTTCATTTCTCTAAGCTTTAAGATTTTCTCTTCCAGTTCTAAGGCATATGCCTTTCGTAATGCCATAGGCATTAAGAAATTCATCAGCATTGTATTCCAATAAGTTGCAAAAAAGTCCCAATTCAAGTGTTAAAAATAAATAGTGCCATCTAACTGGGTGAAATGGAGAATATCCAGACATTGTATATTACATCAATTTCTCATAACTTTCTCAAGTAATATATTCCAAAAGCATCGTTAAGTGAAAATTGAATATCGCCTAATTGCCCCCAAAAACCAAAGGAATATATGATCCTGTTTAATTCAACCATTAATGTCACCCACATCACTAAACTATATTACAAATGAATATGCATTCATGAAAATTGGAAAATTAAAGGAATATGTGAAAACCACATGTACTAGTGGAAAATTAATAAACGTAATATATAAAATTTAAGTCGCCTAATCGCTATGGAAATAACATTCGAACAAAATACATTTATATGACGATGTGTGCGTAGAATAAAAACTGAAAAATAATCCTACTTAAACCATATATTAACGACATCACAACAGGTAGAAATGTAAATTATTACATGAGAAGATGAAATTTAACATGTTCTGCAGCATTAAACAAATCATAGATACCGGTGGAAAACTAAAAATCTGAATACAAAATGACACTAGAAAATTAACTAAGGTAAAAAATAATAATAATAATAATAATAATAATAGCAATCAACATGGATATTGCGTAGACTAGCATCAATGATTCCCTAGTCATTTCTAATCAAAGTAATATAAACTAAAGGATAAATTAAAGCAAAAGTACTGGGTAAATATCTTAAAAAGGATCTGATTTAATATGTGTAAAATGTATGTATTCTTCCTGAAAACTATATTGTGAATATCCTGTCCACCATAGACTACATATTCCAAAACATCATTAAGTGAAAATTGGCTAGGTGGAATGATCAACTCTCTAGTCACCAATAACATAGTTATTGAACTCGACCCAATGGTCAACCCGAGAAAGTCATCGGGTCACCGGGTCAATGGTTGAACCGGTAGGTCATTGTTAGATCATAATTTAATTAAATATATTTTTGGGAAAAAAAGGGCTAAATCTAGTATATACATATACATATATATGTAGTGAAATGATCTATGGGTACCGATGCTTAGCTTATGTTAAGCAATGGTGACATGTCACAACAATTAATTGATGAATCATTAAATTCATAGGCCTTACAATTAACATATTCACCAATTAATTGTTGTGACATGTCACCGATACTTAATAAGCTAAGCACCGTACCCATTAAATTATTTCCCTATATATGTATATATATACATATATATGTGCATAGATTTGTTTGGCTTCCATGCTTCAAGAAGTTTCACTTGCTTCCTAGATGGTTAAGAACCTAAATTCTCATGTAGGAAACCTAGGTTTGAATCATTCTATTTGCAAATTGGAAAAAATGAATTTTACATTGTACTTTGTAAATTGAAATATATATATATTTGCTACATATTATAGACTAAAAGTGAGTACACTCCAAAATGGTAGAGGACATGACATTCCAAAGAAAAGACCAGGGTTCGAATTAGCTTCTTTGCAAATTGATAAAAAAAAAAAAAAAAAACGAATTACAATTTACCTTGGTGACCAGCCGGTTCAAAGTGTGAATCGGATCTGGTACCTCTTAAGCCTATCCGGTTCAGGTGGATTTTGAACGGTTCAACCGGTTCTTGGCTAGTTCATTTGTCAACTCGGACCGAATCACAATCCTGTTCAACAGTTCCCGATCCAATTTTAATAACTATAACCAAGAGCTCCTTTCTCTAGTATCCTTTTTTGCTAAAATTGAAGAAGGAATGTGGTTTGTATCATGAACTACAAAGAGACAAATTTATCTCTATTTTTTCCATCAATAATTAACAAATCATCCGTTATTTTTAGAAATCTTGAAAGCATTGATACCCCATATTCTGAAACACTCAAAAACCTCCCGTACATTTTGTAGTATGCTCGAGGAAACTTGATTAGAGATAAACTTCCCCAATACAAACTACAAGTTGTCCATTCAAATCATTTAGATCTCTCTGGGCTGTACCTAGGAGGTCAACTCATTATATTCACTAGAAGCAATGTATATGCTGAAACTTTGCCCTTCTTCATTTGAACGGGGAATCACTGTTTTATCTTGATGTACAATCCCTTCCTCAAGAGCTACGCTAGACCAGTCCCATAGATAGAGCATGCATTCCTCAGAGTGGATGAGACTTTTACCCAAGATGGAATAACGACGATAATTGTGTATTCATGTGGACTTAGAATATGAAGTACAGGAGCAAATCTACGTCTCTCGAGAATAACAAGATAGATGACAACCGGCAATTGTCCACAGCAAAAAAGAATATATCAACCAAAATTGTCTTGTCGACAACATCCTTTCTCCCGTTGGGAACATGTACAAGTTTGGTATCGGTATTCTCCGCGAAATTACATTAAAATTTTCGTATACTGAAGAAACAGTCACTGATTTATTAATTGTAGGATGAGCTCGCAAACTCATCCCAATGTTACCAGCAATATCCTCTAGCCACACATCTCTTAGACGGGACAACTCTCAATGTCCAAAAGGATGGCAACAGGACCTCTTATAGACAAAAATTTAAAAGCAATGATCATTAAAAAAATCATGTAATCCCAGCAAATAAAAAAGAATCCTCACTTTCCCTTCGATTTCTTTAATAAAATTCATATACAAATTTCTGTTTCTACCTTTACCTTAAAAGACACAACCAGCCAAGTGCTATTCATTTAGGCAACAGAGTGTTCATACCTGTTTTTCTCAAACTAGTTCATCATTGTAGTGAAACTGGTTCACTGTTCATCCAAAATATCTTATTATTGTTTACTATTTAGCTTCTTATTAGATAAGAAAAGATCAGAGTAATTTCATTCCTTCTTCTTCGAACAAAAAACCCTAGCAGTAGTGACACTATCCTTCAAGCTATAGCTCTACCAGTTCAATGGGACAACTTGATTAGATTCACAGATTGTAGCCAATTGATCATAGGCAGGTTTTCACGAGATTGACTTTTGTAAAACTTGGTCAGGGCTTGTCCACTAGACTGGATTTGTGTTCACCAGCATACCTCAAGGAGCTCTCCAAATCACATACATTTCATTTATTTATACTTGGTTATGATTTAATTTCAATTTTAGGCTCCATTTCCATTGAAATTTTGAGCTGTGTCTAGCTAGAGTGTTTTACTAGCGTCTTAGGGCGAGTCTTTTGATGGACTAAATACTAAGGAAAAAAATGCTTTATATGCAATTTAGTTTTTTAGAAGGTTTGTTTACATTGTACATTTTTTTTGTTTTTTTATTTGGTACAATGCCTTCAGGTTTATATGTTTGACTAAAGATATATATTGTATATGAATTTTATGAAAGCAAACGAGGGAACATGAAGATTATTTTTGATCGGCTGAGATCAGATGATTATTTTAATGATTATTGCTTTTAAATTTCTGTCAATACAGGACCTCGCTACCATCCTTTCGGATATTAAGAACTACCCCATGCCAAGAGATGTGCATCCAAAGGATATTGTTGGTAACATTATGATGGGTTTAGAAACTCATCCTACAATTAATGGACCAGTAGCCGTATTTTCAGTATACAGAGATTTTAATGCAATTTCGAAGCGAATAATAGAGGGGGGGTCAAATGACCGATATCAAGTTTGAACACTTTCCCAACGAGAAAAATGATGCCATTGATAAGGCAATTTAGGAAGATATGTTCCCTTTTACTTTAGACAATCGACAGCCATCATCTATCATGTTAATCTCGATGAACGTAGATTTTGCTTCTGCACTACATATTTTAAGTCAACGTGAATACACAATTATCGTTGTTATTCCATATTAGGTGAAAGTCTCGTCTACTCTGAGGAATGCAGGTAACTATGTATGGGATTGGTCTAGCGTGGCCCCTGGGGAAGGGTTTGTGCAACGGGATAAAATAGCGACACCCCGTCAAATGATGAAGAAAATGCAACGTGTACACCGGACAAAGTTTCAACAGGTACATATGCTTCTAGTGAGCATAATGAGTTGACCCCAAGGTACAATCCCCCAAGAGATCTAAATGGTTTAAAGGGACAACTTGTTAAGTCGCTAAAATTGTCAGGAGGAAGTTTATCTCTAATTAAGCTTCCTCGAGCATACCAGAAAATGTAGGCGAGGTCTTTGTGTGATTCAGAATACGGGGCATCAAAACTTTCAAGACTTTTAAGAAGAATGGATGATTTATTGATTATTGAGGAAAAAGACAGATTTGTCTATCTCTGTAGTTCAAAAAGCAGACCATATATTCCTTCAATTTTAGCAAAAAATACTAGAGAGAGGAACACTTTGTGACTAGAAAGTTGATCATTTCACTTAGTCGATTTTCAATTTTCATTTAATGATACTTTTGGAATGTGTAGTCATCATTTTTTGTAAACTATGGTAGCAATAGTTTTAGAAAAATGCTCCCCCAATAGAGCTCTGAACAGTCCATTGAAATACCAACACATTTGGTTAAGGATCCTAAGGTAAATCTTCTCACATAGTTTAAGTTCCTTTATTTGAAACTTTGATCCACAATAAATCAAAACCATTAACTTTAAATATTTGTTTATCAATTTTTTAATCAAAACTAAAAGCACATAATGGCCTTTCAAACTCTTTCTTCCATTATTAAAAAAGAAAAAGAAAAAAAAAAGATTACTAAATTTAATTCATTCAAGTTCTAATATTTTAAAATCTCAAATGTAGCACATTCCAGAATATATAAATGAAAGATGTACAATATTGAATTTCTAAACATACAGCTGCTCCCTTCTTTTGAAAAAGGAACACCATTTCAATTTCTTTAATGAATTCTATATCCAAATCCATTGCTCTCGTGCATTATACTCTCAAATAGTTTAAACTTCATTTTCCTTTTTCAAGCTTGACAACTTTCTGCCTCACACAACAGCTTTCCAGTTCCTTTCAGTTCTTGTAGTTAAATTCTGTGTATTTCGTATGTATAATAAAAAAGAACTCAAAAAAGTGCCCATCTAGATTTATACATAACAAGAATATATTCCACCAACGAAAACTTAAGGTTTCGGCCTTAATTTGTTCATAATATATGCATTATAAAAAAAAAAAAAGCACAAAACTTCACTATTTCATTTAAGATTAACATTCCATTTCAATACTCATTTCCAAATCCTAAAAATATTTTCGTTATATTAAATTCTTTTCTGTCCTATCTTATAAAACCTTACCATAATATCTTTCAACTTAATTTTTATGCATGGGAACAAAATCCAGCTACTTTATTCGAGAACTCCATCGCAGCTTTCGAAGACATCTTACTACCACAGAAGACATACCTCATCTCAAATGCACAAGTTAAGGAAACAAATAAAAATTATAGAGCCCAACTTGGTGACATCCAATGGACAATCAATGCAAACACCACCGTTGAAGTTAATGAACAATTTAAATATCTCCTTTCATCAGTTTACAACTTCATATCATTCGAAAATCTTAAACCATACATGATAAAAATGCCGAAATTAGTAAGTATTTGCAATCCTATTAATATCTTACACTTCATTACTCTTATCTTAAACATATATTACAAACTATACTAATTACTAACCCATATTATTTCTTGTAGGCATCATTGGAATAGCAATCGACATATTCCCCAAAAGAGTAATTCAAATTCGTGACAACCAATCAACAGTACAAGATGTCATTCTCATGAACGAAAGGTTAGACATTTACTATTGCCAACACTAAAATAACTCTTTTCGTTATCACATTAAATATAGCTAAAAACCTTACAAGTTAGAAACACATATGCTTCGGATGTGGGACAATTTTGTCACAAATGAATGTAATACCATCTACAACACAATCACCAAAAAGCCAGTTCTTGTGAGCAATAGATTAAGAGTAACTTCTTTCAATGGTAAATTGACTCATCCATGCACACAATTATACCAACACATGAATTTAAACCTTACACTAAAAGCTCAATTCAATCTCTATTTACGTATATCTTTCTCTACAAAAATCAACTCATCAATACTCATTAATCCCCCATTTTTAAGCAAGTTCTTGTACTAAACACTGGTATATTCTTTCACTTATTCACTTACATACTTATATCAATTGTAACTATAATTCTTAATTTCCTTCTTTACTTTTTAACAAATTCATTCTAACATCAACATTAGGCTAGAGAACAATATGAACACAATAAATTACATCTTGACAAGAAAAGCTTATATCTTTCCCCGCATCTACCACCATTTGTTGTCCACCGAAAGAAAAGTTAGTCAACATTAAACAACTACAGCAACTCCAACATATGGTACACCAAATTACTACACCTTCTCACTTACATAACATTTCACATCTATCCTAACACACATTTTTTTACAAGTTATTTTATACATTGCAACATAGACACTCTGGACAAAAGCAAATGTCACATTGGCTGAAATAATCCAACCACCATGGTAACTATCATGTGACAATTGCCATAAATCTACAAGTGCAGCTGTGAACGAAACTTATTTCTGTAGATTATTCAAGCACAATTACGCTATACCAACTCCAAGGTAAGATTATAATCATGTTACAAATACATCATCTATGTAAATAAATGCATTATTTATTATCTAATGATCATCAAATAGACCCCAAAACACTTACAATTATTCCACTTCCATTCTAATAGAGCAAGAGCAATCGTTCAATTATAAGACTCCATAGGCTCAATCACAGCATCAGTTATTGGAAATCCAACGAAACATTCTCAAATGCCCAGCAACAGAACTGATGAAACAAAGTTCAGGGGTACTTGTCTAAAAATTACATTTTTCTACCTACTCCCCCCCAAGTTTGATAGAAACATATGGATTCTTACTCGCACTGTAGATACAGTATGGAATGAATTGAATCATTAACATAAATGATTTTAAGACATTTAACTACAAGATTTTATTTATTGAAGTATGCTTTGGAATACCTTTTTTGTGATCTTGTCAACTTTATCAATATAAACTATGTTTTGTTGTGCAGCCGAAAAATTATAGTCAGCAACCAGAAATAAAATATGACCAGGAATGACTAACTGGAATGTATATGTAAAACATATTTCGCCCAAAAAACGAAAAGGAAAAACATATAAATTCCTCAACATAACACATTCGAACAAACCCAAGCAGGTGGCAACGAAAACATATGGGAATAACCATCATGACTATCAATTGGCTCAATACTCCCACTCTCTAAATAAAACACTCCGATACTGCGACTCTTCCATTCCCAATCATCTTCCCTGCCACGAAAGAACTCATCTGTAAAAAAAATATAGAATTACCTTTACACTCATTATACCCAAACATCTCCGAAGCAGAAGCTCCATGTACAATTCCAAGAACAACATCTCACCCAAATTAGTCACTTCGACCCATTTTTCATTTGTTATCATCCAACCTAAAAACTTTGATCTTACCATCCTCTCACTCCTAACAAAATCAAATTCCTAGAACTCAAAATCCTCAATGTACTCCAAATCACTATTTGGGCCAGCAGCCAAATACTTATCCACTAACAACAGATTATTTTAATCATCTCATTTTTCTCTTCGTCCATATTTTCAGCCTCTTTTTAGAATTTTGAAACAATATTCAAAATGTAAGAAATACTTAAATATGGATTAAAGATATACACATCATATATGGCAAAAGCACCATACAAATTTCAATTGCTCTCTTAAATTTTAGATTATAGACACATGAACCAAGCAGCAAAAATTCAAGAAACCTACGTGCACAATTCATTATTTACCTGTAAATTTTAGCTATGGCAAGCTTTGCACTGCTCTACATCTATGATTGTTGCCGAATGGACGTCGCTGTAGAGGGAAGTAATCTTTCTGGCCTTTCCTAGTATATATGCGGTATAGAAGTGAACAAAGTTAAATAAGAAAAAAGAATCATACTCTATAAAAGCACCATCCTCCATTGTACGCATCAGAAAACAGTCCCCTATGCGTCACTAGTAGCACCACTACCCTCCATTTTGTACTTCGAAGAGTTGGAACTTGGAACTGACAATAGAAAAATGCTGAGAGAACGAAAAAAACATAGACAATAGCAACAAATTGAACAAATAATACACAACAAGAACATCAAAGGAACATACTTAAGCTATCTTGTATTCGATTTCTCAAAAGCTCAGACAAACAAAATAAAATAAAAGCAGATTCAACAATTGAAGTGAAGAAACCGTAACAAATCTAAGGTTGGTAACCAAGAAATCATGACAAATACAACGTCTAGAAATTGGGAGTGCTCTTGAAAGGGAAAACAAGAGTAGAAGTGTTTGGGAAAGGAAAAAGTAATTGCAAAGGTTAGGTGATGAGATATTTAGTGAACACTATTAGAACAAAGAAAAACTCGATTGTGAACAGTAATTTATTCGGATTGTGTGTGAGATGGAGAACTCATAAATGAATAGTGGAGGAGTAAAGTGGGAGAGGGAACTCGCAGATGAACAGTTCTTTGATATTGCCTCTTTTAAAGGAACTAGTGTGACACACATGCAAAGCCCGCGACACTGTGTAGTTGACCACGTAATAGCATAAATATTTTGATAAGCCTCCAATCAAGTACACTTATTCTAGATGGGCTAGGAAGGGTTGAGGAGAAGTTGGCAGCAACAAGATTCCGTTAACATGGCACGCTGACGTGGACAGATTAGTTACAAGAGGTCTATAAATATAGAGCGAGCAGGAAGGACTGAGGCAGGCAAAAAAATTATTGAGTAGAAGTATGGAATAGGAGAGTAGTAGCCCTCTCAATAGAGCCTTTGTTGTTTCTAGCCGTCTCAAAAGGCTATTTGTTATTTCTTTCATTGTTGTATTCTCTTTTAATTACATCAATATACTGCTGGCACTTGATTTTTATAGCAATACTTTCTAATTACAGTTAGATTCCTAACAAAATGGTATCAAAGCACGTCAATCTTATGGCCCAAAAGAAGATAGAAATCAGAGTGGAAGTAATGGAGAAGACGCTAAACTAATTGAAATCTGAGCTCAAACGCTTACCAGGCCTAGAGATCCCAGTGGAACACCTCAAACAGAGCATGACAAAGATGCTGCAATCCATGGAAGATACACAGAAAACTTTGGCAACTCTTATTTTTCCAAAAGCAACCATGAACAAAGCTATGGAGGGAGATAGATCTGGAAGTGTTTCGGAGGTTCAGTCACCACCTAATGTTCACAAGGGACCCGTGGGAGATCAGCAGTAGCGAGACCGAGGCAAAATGACAGAAGAAACAGGGAAAACTGGGAAATATCAAGAGGGAAACATCTGGAGACTAATAAGGAAGTTTAAGTTACCAATATTTAGTGGAGATAACTCAAGACAGGTGGCTGTACCGCTTGGAGAGGATCTTCTCCAATAATCTGTTGTCGGAGGCTAATATTTTCAAGAAGATTTCAGCATAGAAATCAGAGGAAATAGAGAAAGATTACACGCGGGACCCTGAGATTTTAACTCCAACTGTGCAAAATTTCCCGAAGCAGATGAGAATGAGGCGACGAGACGCAGTGAAAGAAGATGGTGATCTTCGATCCAGGTCTGTTACTGCTGCTGCTGCAGAGCGTGATGTAGGTGGTGGTGGGAAGTGCTTGGTTAATGGGTTGATTCAAGGGATTATAGTGGAAGAAATGTTACTAAAATTTAGTTGCTCGGGACTGTGTTATAGAGGTTGCCCAACAACTAGACTGCAAAGTTCCAAATAACAAAGCACGGGAGGGATGGGCCCGAATTTGGAAAAGGAAGATAACCCAAAAATAATTGTTTACAACCCTAGAACCCATCCGATTGCTTGTCTCAATCCCCTGTTAACACCAATATGCTGCAATCAGCAGCTCCATCAATTCCAAAACCAAATTCCACTAATTTCAAACAATTTTCCCTTGCTAAATTTCAAATAAAGGGGGGAACTAATTCGAGTATCCAGTGCAACGGGTACTACAACACCACGAGGTATTACTACAGAAGAAAAGAGTGTTACAGGACAGGAAAAACAAGTTGGAAAGATTGGAAATTCGTTGACAATGGATTTGAATGGGTCGGTGGCAGCAAAGATGCAGAGGTAGTTAACAACGACAATGGCGTGGAGATTGGCGGTAGGTTGGGATCTTTAATTAATTTTGTCATTTGATTAATTGTGCTAAAGACCATAAAAGGGCAGTTTGCACAAAAGAAAGTAAGTTATTGATCTATGGCGGGGTTACCAAGCATAGTATTCTACTTGGCCGGGTTCATTTATTGAAAAACTCGCAAGAGGGTGCAACCAGTTATCGAATCTTCGTGGACAAAATGCTATACAAGATCCATCAGTTTATTCCAATAACAAGGTATTTAGTGCAATCACTTCCCACATTCCCAATTGCTATCCAGCAGTTTTCTATTGTTAAGCTTCAATCAAAGAATTTGCTGCTGGAAATATTTTTCCCTTCACCATGGACGATTGAAGGAAAAAGATTTGTGAACCAATCTCGGTTTCTAAAATCGCTATTGAAGGAGGATTTAAGATCTAAATTGGGGAATGGAGTCATTGGCATGCTTTAAGCACAATGGGCTGACTCAAACAAGGAGCTGGCCCAGCTGGTGGGAAATGCAATGATGTCAATCTACCACAATCTACTATTTCAAATACAGAATTCCTTTGCGGGGATATACAATAAGCGAAACGATTATACCATTGGTGGCAGGAGAAGAATCCAATCAAGCATAAAAATAAGGGGCTACAATGTTTGGTGGTCAATAAAAACTCTGATGGAAAAGAGAACAAATTGGAGGAATCAGGTATAGAGGAAGTCCACGAAGGAAATGGGGCGCCAAGTCACAAAGGGAATTTGTGCGCCCATTGAAGTCCAATAATGGTAGTAGGATTTTGATTGGGGATTATGCTGCCTAAATCGAGTCACAATCTAGAGAGAGAAGTCAGGGGAGTAGTGAAGATCTGAGTGTCATAATAATGCAATCGCGCCTTGACAACATCAATAGACTGGGCCCTAATATTGCATGTCTATTGCTCATATTTGATACTAATAGTCCAGTAAAGCATACAATACTTCAGCTAAAATCTCATTACAATTTCTTGGAAGTTATCCTTGATATGTTGGAAAATTTAAAAGTCCATTTGTGTTGGGTGCAACATACAATAGAATTGGTGGCACTGTACATTATCTAAAATTAGGTTTTGAAATTAAGCTGGGCATTGCACTATCTACAAGGGGATTGTATCTGATAGGGGTGAGCGCGATTCAATTTGGACAGTCTGTGCTATATTTTCAACTCAGGCCATTTTATGTGGTTTGAAATTTTTCCAAACCAAACAAAATCATTATATTTTTCGAACCAAATCAAATCATAATTTGCAATTTGGTTCGATTTTAATCCACAATTTATCTATTAACATTATAGTAATATATTTAACATAAGTTAACATATAAGTTTAAACGATAACTTATAATATTAAATGTAAAATTACATTCATATTTTACCATTAAACCCATAAATAAATTATTTTCAAAGCCAAGACACTGAATAGGTGGTAGATACTATAGCATCTTACCACGCCACTCCACACCGAGACTTCTTCAAAACATATATAAACTTAGCGACTTTGGTGCAATAAAGATGAAAAATACAAGTTCCTCTAAGATCATGGAAATGGGTGATGTTTAGATGCAAACGAATATCGAGTGTAAAATAACCTTGAAAGATGTCTTATATGAGCCAAATGTTAGGCTAAATCTACTTTCTGGAACAAACCTTGACAAACAGCTATAACAATTACTTTAGCAATGACACATGAAAAATGATGAAATATGTCAAGGTTGTCGCTCAAGGACATATTTGTGGCACTTTATACAAAACTCATGTGAAAAATATATACAGACAGCCTCAACATAGTGGAACATGAAGCTTCTTAAAATTTGTGGTAATAAAGACTCGATCACATGAGTGAGAAGAGATTGTCTACCTAATAAAGAAGGAGCTAATCACTGTTACCAAGGAAGTTGCGCTAGATCCTTACAATCACAGTCTATTTGGTAAGCAGCATAGAGTCTCTTTCAATTTCTTTTCAACAAGACGATCAAAGTTACTCAGGCTAGTACACTTAACATTTATGGTCCATTAGAGGTTGATTATCTAGGCAATAACAAGTATTTTTTGATGATGCTTCTTGAAAAGCTTGGGTGTACTTCTTGAACATAAATGAACATGTATTGGCTTACTTCAAACTGTTCCATACAATGGTAGAGTGTGAAATAAGAAAGAAGCTGAATTGTCTCCGCTCAAATAATGGAAGTGAGTACACTTTCAAAGAGTTCGATACCTACTATGGAAGACGTGATATTCAATATGAGAAGATCGTCCCATGCACCCTACAATATAACGAATTAGCAAAGAGAATGAATTGGACAATCATGGAAAAGGTTCGAAGCATGCTCGATATGACTTAGCTACCAAAGCCATTTTTGGGAGAAGCTGTTCAAAACCATCAATATGGTTGAATTTTAAAATTTTTAAGAAAGTATGGTCTGGTAGGAATTTCCCATACTCTCACTTGAGAGTATTCGATTGTTTAGCCTTTGCACATGTCTTCAAAAAGCTAAGATAGAAGCTCGACGTAAAGACCACTCTATGCATCTTTATAGGCTATGGAGATGAAAAATTTAGATAGAGATTATGGAACCCAAAGGTAAAGAAGGTCATCAGAAAACCAAATATTAGAAGCTATTAAAATGCTCACAATGTCTCATAATCCTAATTTCGTTGCCCATAATGCTGCTCCAAATCTAGTATTAACACAATTCACCATAGGTAATGATGAGATGCATGAGAAAATGTAAAAAGCACATGACCATCACATTAGGAGGAGCCACAACTCTCTCCACATTAAGCTACATGACCATCACATCAATTAGATAATAGTGCACCTCTTGAAACCAACAATCTACAAGTACAAAAATTTGAACAGGGACAAATTCCGTCAACGAGATATTCAGAGTCTAAGTACATTCTGCTTACTGATGAAGGGAAGCCTGGGGACTTCCAGGGAGCACAATCTCGTGTGGACAAAGACAATTGGATACCGGCGATGCAAGATGATATGGAGTCACTGCAAATGAATCAGACATATCAGTTGGTTGAGCTTCCTATAGGAAAGAAAGCACTACGGAATTAATAGGTGTTCAAACTTAAAAAAGATGGCAGTGAAAAATTGGTGAAATATAAAGCCCAGTTGGTAGTCAAAGGATTATTACAGAAAAGGGAATTGACTTTGACGTAATTTTTTTACCTGTTATAAAGATAGCCTCAGTTCGAGTTATCTTTGGATTAGTATCCAGCTTAAACCTAGATCTTGAATAGATAAATGTCAAGACAACATTTTTTATGGTGATTTACGTGAAGAAATCTATAAGGAGCAACCAGAATATTTTGAGGTTTCAGGAAAAGGGAACATTTTTTGCAAGTTAAAGAAGAGCTTATATGATCTTAAACAAGCAACAAGACAGTGATACAAAAAGTCTAACTCATTCATGGTGTGTAAGGCTACAAAAGAATTATTGCATATCAGTATGTTTATATTCAGAGGTTTCCAGATAAAAACTTCATTACATCTTCTATTGTACATATACAACATGTTGATCGTTGCACCAGCCAGCTGAAGAAGGAACTTTCCAAGTCCTTTAACATAAAGGACTTAAGCTTAGCTCCATAGATTTTGGGAATACACACAGTTCAAGATAGAAAGAACCAAAGGTTGTGACTATCTCAAGAAAAATAAGTTGAACAAATGATCAAGAGATTTAACATGTATAATGCCAAACATGTCAAATTTCCACTAGCCAACCACTTCAAATTGAGCAAGAGTTCATGTCCCTCATCCAAAAAGAGATATGAGAAATGTCGTTAGTACCTTATTCTTCAGCAGTCGAAAGCCTGGTGTATGCAATGGTATATAACTAAACAGATATTGAACATACAATGGGCATGGTGAGTCATTTTCTCTCTAATCTTGAAAGGGAACATTGAGAGGTAATTAAATGGATTCTCAGATACCTCAAGGTTACATCGGTGACATGTCCATACTACGAGGGAGCTTATCTAATCTTGGAAAGGTATACGGATTCAAATATGGCTGGAGATCTTGACGGTAGAAATCTACTTCAGGTTCTTCTCTACAAATTTTTAGGAGAGTAGTGTCGTGGTAGTCAAAACTAGGGCCAACCTGAGAATTTAGAGGCCTTAGGTGACTAATTATTATGAAGCCCTCCAAAATGATTTTTTTTACAAGTGTAACAATATTCAAATAATTAACACTTTTATATTAAAAAGAAAACGGTATACAATTCAAAAGACAAAGTAGCAAAATAAAACTTCACTCACAACACGAGAGATTAGGCTAGAATAAAATTTAACATTCTCACATTTTGAGATGTAAAATTAGTAATCAAACTAATAAAATCTAGTTTTTTAACATTTTTTTTTATAGAAATCATCGGTTATCCATTCAATATCTCTTGTAACATGTTTGATCAAAGATAAGACTTAATTAATTTCAACTTTGAAAACCTTCTTTCAGTAGAGGCAACTATGACAGAAATAGTTAATAAAGCTCTATATGTAATCCAAGCATTTGCAAATAACAGTTCAATCTCTTAATGTAACCAAACACATCAATTGCTCTATTAGTTTTGCAGGTATAGCTTCCCTTAAAACTTACATTTGAGAAAAATAATTCTACCCCATCAATATCAAAAGCCATATTATGCTTCAAGTAGTTTGCAAGGTTAATGCAAGAATACTTCAAACTATCATCGTCGATAGATTTAAGCTTCTTCAAATTAAATAAAAATTCAAAAGTATCATCATATTTTTAAAATTGCACAAATCTATTATGAAGTGATGGTAGAGCTTAACTACTATAAATATGAAGTAATTGACATCAAAAGATTCTTCAAGTGTTTGCGTTATCTGTTCACAAGAAGTCTTATCAAACTGCTTCTTTCTATGTATAATCCGTTTTTCAAGAAACATTGGTTCAATTTCTAATTCATTAGCAATCTCTTTAGAATCAACCATGGCTAATTCAAATCCAGATTCTTTATTACTTCTGAAAAACGAAATGAGCCATTTTAAATGATCTATAGCAATATCAATATACATGTCTTCTGCTTGTAAATGTTTGCTTACTCTGTTAACATTATTCAACATTACATACCAAAAATTCCTAAAAAGAATTCTTCAACCTTCACTAGACTTGCTAAAATATCTACACACCTCAATACTATAGACATTTATTCTTCATGACTCGAATTTGGAGTCCAATCAAATATAATAAAAAAGTATTTAGAATCTTTAAGTTTCTCGATTATTTTTTTATCTCGCCTTTTAGTATAAGTATCAACTCATTCTAAATTTTGTGTCCAAGATAATAATAATGAATTGCTTTATTCTGGATTCAACAAATGTGCTCTTGCATCACGGGATCAAACTTAGCAATCATTTGAATTATGTTTAAGAAGATACCATTATTTTCTTAGTATATCTTCTCATTATTTTCATGAAATACTAAATTATTCTCAGCAAAAGTTCTCACGATAGATATTATTCTCAGTAATACTTGTCTCCAATGTTTTATATTTCTATTGATTTGTTTCTACACAATTTTATCGATTGTTTTACTCTTTTCAAATCTTAATTCCATTTCAATTCATCTACTCATGTTATTAATGTGGTCACAACTTACCTCAGACATTTTAAGATTTTCACCAATACTTTTCCAATCATTTACACCATCATGGGCCCATTATGTTCTGATCCCATCATTCTTGAATAGCTTACAACAAAAGCAAAATACTTTGTTCAAACTTTTTGAATATATCAATAACTTTCGATCCTGCTTCTCTCAATTAGGTAATCATCGAACATAATGCATAGACAAAAAGTGTCAATTTGCTACATCTTTAGAAAAAATCACATATTTTCTCGTATATGAAGTTTCATTCCAATTAAATCTCTTAAGTTTGTGTCCATATTTCCCAATTTGTTGGATCAATAAGGTCAAGGGAAAATAGTTCATTATCTCTATTAGTAGATATCTCTCCATTTACCATACAATGTTGTTCTTCAATTATGTTATCTCTGTTATCATTGTCATTAAACTCTTCTCCAATAACTATGTCTTCGTTATGTGTTCGTTTAAAGCTTACCAAGGCTTTCTCTTGAGATTTAATTAACTGTTCAGCATTTTTATTCCTTTTCTTTTGGCACATCCAGATTCAAATTTTCTTGTAGACGTAAATATAAGCAAAGCATTAGAACCTGATTGATGAGACTGAATTACAAATTTCCAAACATCTCCAAAAGAAAGGATTAAGCAATAAAAAATAACTTTCAAATATGTAGTCATAGAAGATAAGAAAAAACCCCATTAAGCAAATAACTAAAAGGCTAAGGAAAAAAGCCAAAACCTTCACCCACCCTAAAGAAGTGAAAACCATAAATATTTTAACATTAATATTAAGAATAAGAAAAATGAATGTTTAATTAAGTAAACAATCTTCAATTAGTCCTAAATGAGATTGTATTTATATTTTAATGAATCTCAAGCCTATTAGGCTAAGCTAAAACATGCTCAACCACAAGCACAGGAAATGAGGTAATCTTATAGAATGGAGTGGACGGTTCAATGATTAGGACATTTATGAAAAATAAAACATTCAAATATGAAATAATATCAAAAAGGAAAACAGGAACTCGGTATTCATAATCATAATAAGGTCAGGATCAGTAGAAATTTTACTTGGATTTCTATTACTTACAACAGGTTTTGCACCTCTCTATCACACCTCATTGTTCCGTGTTTGTTTAGAAGTTAGATTGAGAATTAGTCAATTTAGGACTGGGGTTTTCATTCTGGAAAATTCGATTGTGAAGGACGATAATATTTATTCACAAGGGTTTAATAGAAAATACAAACCATTGCATTAGGGAATAGAGAGAATTTTTGGGGAAGACGAAGGGAGGAGATAGACGAGTTCCAATAGTCACTAAACTTAGGTCTATGTCTGTGATTGGCCACTAAACTTTAAAATGTCGAGCTTTGATCACTAAACTTAGGTCCACGTCTTTGATTGGCCACTGAATTTTAAAATGTCGAGTTTTGGCTATTGAACTTTGAAAAATGTTGTACATTATTCATTGTAAACTCATTATTTTCAAAGTTCAACAGTTATACTAGTGAGTAATGTACGGTATATTTCAAAGTTTAATGGCCAAAACTCGACATTTTAAATTTCAGTGAGCAATCTAAGACATCGATCTAAGTTTAGTATTAATCGAAGACATTGACATAAGTTTAATGACCAAAACTCGATATTTTTAACTTCAGTAACCAATCAAAGACATAGACCTAAATTTAGTGACCAAGACTCAACATTTTTCAAAGTTAGTGGTCAAAACTCAATATTTTAAACTTCAATGGCTAATCAAAGACATATACCTAAGTTCAGTGACCATTTGAATAATTAACTCAAGATAGATGGTCTCTGAGTTCCAATGTGTTTTTTCAGGGTTGTTTTGAATTTTTTGGGCCTCTATTTTTAACAATAGCTTACACCAATTCAAAAGTGAGGTTTATGGTTTAAAAATTCAAAATTTAGGTATATATATAATTAATTAAAAATAATAAAATCACAGTTATACAATTAATTATCACAGATACATAATTATAGGTCACAACTTTTTTACTAGTCACATATTGTCAAATTAATTGATTACAGATTATTTCGAGGTCACGAATCAAAAATTTTAAAGGTCACAGATTATTTCGAGGTCAAAAATCAAAAGTTCTACAAGTCCCAGTTTATTTCGCTGATCACAAATCAAAAAAATTATAGGTCACAGTTTATCGGTTACATATTTTTAAATTTTTTGGTCACATATTATTTTTCAATCAAAAGTTATCAAATTTTTATGTCATAGTTAAATACTTGGTCACAGACACCAAACAATTGATCACATACCACCCCTATCAACACTACAACAAATTGCGAACACCCTCTCCTTGCGACTGTCGCCACCACTATCGTACCACCATCACCATCGCCATCATCGACAGCCACACCACTGTCAACACCCCTACCTGCACCACCACCAATAATTGTCGCTAGATTCGCCATAGCTGCCAGCATCTCTACCTGTACAACCAACAAAAACCACCTAAGACCTTCCAACAACATCAAAACCACCTCTAAACCACTACTACCACCACCACCACCCCACCCCAACGTCGCTATTGACAAAAACCATAGCAGTCCCAAATCATCACTATCACCACCAAAAGCTGCATCAACACCACCACCACACCTGAAAATCACAGTAGCACTAAACTATCACTACCACCACCACACCTCCTATGTTGCTCTTACCGCATTTAAATTTCACTCCAACCCCACCAACTGAGCACTTGACCACCAACCACAAAACCACCACCACACCGCACAACATAGAACCACCACCACCTACCCCATCATACAACACAGAACCACTACAAAACATCACAACAAAACCACAAAAATAGAAGCGACAATGCTGCTGTGCACAGATCTGCACAAACTCTACCTCTTCTCTACACAGTGCAGTCTTTCCACATTATCCGCTGCTCGCAGACTCTCTGCATAGCGCTATGCCGTGAGCGCCATCATCTTCTATCCATTGGCGTGGCGCTCACAATGAAGAGCATGGAGAGAGATGGTCTCCGGTGGCGGTGCTCTCTAGCGTTAGCGGGGATAGCGGCAGCAATAGTAGCGAGTCCATTTGTAAGAGAAGGGTAGCAAGAAATGGTAGAGAAAAGGTAGAGGAATAGTGTTTGAATGATTAGATTAGAAATATTGTGTATATAAATTAACTTTTAATATTATGAGTAATATTAACCACCTAATTAATGAATAATGAAAGTTATCACCTGATTTTAGAATTGTATTGTTTAAAAGACAGGTGCAATGTAATTTTCCCTTTTTTTATGCCCTCATCAAATGTGAGGCCCAAGACAATGGCCTAGTTTGTCTTTAGGCCAGTCCTAGTCAAGATTATAGAATTGTGTTGCATTACACATTAAAACTGGAATATAAAAAGAAATGTTGTGGTCAAAGTAATTTCTCCGAGTATTAGGGATTGAGCAGAAAAATTACTAGGTCCATTATGACAGTCAAAGTGTCCTAGATGTGATCAAGGGCTCAAAACATACCGAAGTATGTTATCATTGGATATGAGAGATGATAGATCAACAATCATTGAGACTACTGAAGATTTACAAAAATATGCTGACAAAGGTGGTTCCAAGAAAAAGTTAGAGCTACGAAGAGACATATTTGAAATGCTTATCAAATAACAATTGATTTAGATATGGCTGGAGTGGGAGAATTATTGTGCCGTTCAGCCAATTTAGCCTCTTTTGTTGACTAAAATTTGGAAGGGAAATGCAACTTGTCCCAACTCGGGGACGACCAAAATCCAGGGTGCCGAGGTGACAACACCTCGGTCCTTGGATCTGAAAAAAAAAAAAAGAAATAAAGTTGAAATCGGAGGCTGAGGTGTCACCTCAGACCCCTGTTTTTGGGTCGGTCCCCGAGTTGGGACCTGTAGCATGTTTGAAATTGGAAATGTCAGCCAAAGCAATCCCCATTTGACAAATGTTGATGGAAAATTTTGCATGAAAAATCAACTTTAGCAGTAAAGGCCGCCAACCTTTTTGGAAAGTTGATGCCATGATTAACGAAGACTGGCAAAATTTTCACTGTAAATTAGGGGGATACATTTGAAAAGAAGCGTAAAAAAATCCCAGAAGAAGAACAAATAGAAATAGCGAGTTTTATATTAGGAGCTTGTAGATTCTTATAAATTCTGAAAAATATAATAGTTTTTTTGTCTTATAACATCAGAGAATCACAACAAAAACCATCCCTTGATTTTACCAGGCCCCCCGATTGGATCTTGATACAATACTTGACTCTTGACATTTTCAATTTTCTGGTCGATGCCGGGTCCAAATTTTTAAAGCATTGTAGTAAAAAGCTTAGTGGGGATTCGTGTAATTGTCAAAAGCCTGGAGGAGAAAACGACGACTATCCAAATTTCAAGCCACCAGTTACCAGCCAGTATTTTGTTACGACTCGCCCCCATAATTTCGGCCATGAATCACTGTTTCCAACCCCATTCACAAGATCTCCGTCTCCCCCGCTACTCCCTCGATTTGGCGCTGTAAATTAACTTAAATTTTTTCAATAATTATTATTGTTTCTTCGATTATTTTTCGTTGTCTTCGTTCCACGGGAGAGGTTTCTGATGGAATTGAAAGTGAATATATAATGATTAGTTGATTGATGAATTCTGTTTCAACTAGTGTCATGGACTCGATCGGGACCCAAAATGGTGTCGCAAGCTTTTATCATTTTATTATCGCATTATACTTCGCTTTCGGTTTCGTCGCTGCCAGATTCTTCCTTGATAAATTCATCTTTCGAGTAAGTTTCTCGTTATTTTCTTTGGCATATATCAGCTATAGGTATCTCAATATTTCGTTGTAATAACTTCTATTTGATTAGTGGAATGGATTTTATCCCATGTTGCTAATAAGTGCATGTTTGGTATAAATTGCAGTATTTTAGTTTCTTTTTCTTCATCAAAATTGACCAGTTCCATCCCATCCCATCTACCAATTCCATTAGTTCTTTCGAGATTGAGAATGCAATAACAGAGAGCTTGCTGAGAACATTCATTATAACCTGATGTGCACTGATTAATCTATTGACTTTTGAGTTGTTGATTTTAATAACAATGCAGACGATTTGTTTGAAGGAGGAATAAGAGAAGTGAGGAAGATGATATCACCAATTTATATGGCTTTTCTTGGTTCATGTTTTTGATAAATGACCTACGAATATAAAAGATAACAATGGGAAGGAATGCAGCACTATGGTGTGCAGAACTTATGGTCAAGCCCTAGAAATGAAATGTTAAGACACAGTGCAAAGCTCATTATTTAAGAAAATAATTTTTGTATGATTATGAAATAGGATATCAAATAATTTCTATCCAACTAGAATAGTTAATCTAGTGTAGGAAAAAAGAAAAAAAGTAAAAAAATAAAATAAAACAACTGCAAAAACTCCACAATAAGAGAAATTAATGTGAAGTAAAAAATCATGGGATCTGAGCTCAAACAAAACATTTCCCGTAAACTATTAGCCCTCATTTGAGCCCCATTTTTCTGGAGAAATATGCTTGGAATAGTGATTTTTGGAGAACGTGTGGTTAGAACGTGTGGTTAAGAAATAAGGAAAAAAATTGTGTTTTAAGCGTAAAATTATTTTATGGGAGAATGTGATGGAAAATGAGTCTTGAGGAGAATAGGCTCAAACTGCAGGTTAGGATACATAGATGTGGCCTTCGTGATCTCTACCAGATATCAACAAGCTAATGATAGGACATCAAATGGCACAACTTCTTGGATTAGAAAACAAAACATGGTCATAATAGATGAAAAGAAACAATCTCACCAAGTGAGTTACATTTAACGATAAGGGTAAAAAGCTAACACATTTGAGGGCCAAGATGAAGAGACTCAAGTCGTGTTGAACCTCAATTTCATTGCCCATTGCTTGATAGGGTTTGTATGTGGGCCAGCTTGAAGGACCGATTTTTTTTTATATTCTTAAACTACATAATTATATAGGAATTCAAATTGGTTCACTTATTTCCCTTTCAAATGCCATAGCTGCTCCAAATGGCTTGTTTCATTGTGTCCCAGAAAATACAATGTTCTGATGACGTGAAAGAAGCCAATAAGAAGTCTTAAGACAAGAAAGATTATAATGACAAATTTGGTCTGCAGAGTTTTTTATTTTTTTCCTCTTTGATTAAATCTTTCCTCACCTAATTGTGTGCTTTTATTCTAGAGGCTAGCTGTTTGTTTGCTGCGCAGTAGAACCAATCTGCCAAAAAATAATGAGGCCACAAGGGCAAAGATTGAGAAAATTTCTGAGTCTATGTGGAAGTTTACATACTATGCTTCTGTTGAGTTTTGCATTTTAAGAGTTACTTGCCACGAGCCATGGTTCAGAGATATAAAGGAGTACTTCAGAGGCTGGCCTAATCAAGAACTGAAGTAAGTAATACGTTTGTTCAGTATTATCCTAATAATATATATGAGGATTTCGTTGTTGAATTGCTTGTCTTAGAGAAATACTGACTTGCTACGGGTTTATGTGAGGTAAGCGTTACTTGTAAATTGATCATTAATTTGATGGGAATCTAAGTCTTAGAATTTTCGCATTCTCTGCCATCTAAATAATAGAGAACACAGGATCTTATCCAATTGCTTGCCATGTCAGATTTTTCCCTTCTTTTCCCGTACCAGGTGGTAAAGAATGGACACTTGGCAATCCTGGTTCATACTTGTGTGTATATTCTTTTTACTTATCTTTGTAGGTCTGAAAACTTCTTTCCTTCCCTTTGAGCTCTGAAATTCCTAAGTCCCGTCCATCAATATGGTCTGAATTGATTCGCTAGAATGTTATGATCATGGTTTGCTGTTTTTGAGGAACATTAGATTCTTCAGTCCTGTTTCAATGATTTGTTTCTTACCAAATTTTGGGTTTTCAGAAGATCAAAAGATGGTAAGATCATAAATATGGTTTAATGGCTATTAAAATGGTTCACTTGGATGAAGTAGACTGCCACAATCTCTCAGGATTAGTATATCACTTTGATGGGTGTGGGATAGGGTGGTTGTCTTATCTTCTTTGCGGGCTAAGATCATCTGGTCTCTCCATAGACGTCTTTCCAAAGACAAGTTGAAACAGATGTGCAGCAAGCTTGGAGAGATTTTTACATTTGATTGATCGTTACTTTTTCCTTTTATTTTGGCCCCATATGCAGACGAGCTTATTAATTTCAAGAAATTAAGGTCAAGTTCAGAAAGATGTTCTCAAATGTATCCTTTTGTGCATGCAAATACACTAACTCTGAAATCATGCTATTAATCCTGGATTCAGAAGATTTCGAATTATATGTATCTTGATGTGTGGATAATTGATGCATTATGCTCTTTAAAAGTTAGGACGGGTGGTGGGATATCTTGGTGCTGTTGTTGACTGATTATATAGTTAAAGAGATTATTCAAGTGTGGGTTAAATACTTTATTTTGGAATATACCTGTACTCGTTTGTTTCACTTACATGCCTGAAATGCTGCAAAACTTCGCTTTTGCATGCCTTCAATGCATCCTCATGAATTGTTAAGAGTTGTGTATATCTAAAATTATCTGCTGTATTGTTTATTTCAGGCCTCCTTTAAAGTTCATTTATATGTGCGAATGTGGTTTCTACATCTATAGCATCGCTGCCCTCCTTATCTGGGAAACACGGCGAAAGGATTTCTCTGTAATGATGTCTCACCACATAATCACTGTTATCCTTATTGGGTACTCTTATATTACAAGGTATTTTTTGCTTCATCTTCTACTTAAAAATTGTTAGGGTACTTATGATAAGAATGCAACTTGATAAATTTAGGATATAAGATAAGGTACAGTCATAAGTTAAGTCTCTCAACGAAATATTGCATAATTTACGATAAGGTGCGCTGTTGATCACCCTGAACTGTCAGGGTCTTAAGGAAATATTGCATAATTTACATTCTTTTATATTTATTGTATAAGAGATTCTCAGGAGGATTACGTGCACGTATATTGTGTGTGCTTTATTGCTTTCCCATGGATCAATGCACCTATGCCCATTTCTTTTCACAACATGCTATCGTGGATAAGGGAAGTGCATTGAAGTGTTTTTATTGAAGTATTATTGGAAAATGTTTCTCCTTTTCAATATAATGTCTCACTTCTAAGTGCAAAAAGAAACTTATTTGTGAGAAGGGAAGCAAATTGGTTTTAACTGCACAGTTCTTAGCATTTATAGAACAGACTTTATTTCTCTGATAGTCATTATCAAGTGCACTCTTGGCCTGTTAAGACAGATGGTTCGTTTGTTTTTGTTACATATTTGTGATTTCACTTTTCCTCTAATACTTGGTGAGCTATCAAATATACAGAAACCCGTTGAGCTATGTTTGCTCCCAATTATTCTCTTAGCGTTCATCTTTGAGATTGGCTTGCAGAAGAAAATTCTCCTTCTTGGTTCAGATTTGAGCCTTGTTCTAGACTCCTATGTCGGTGTTTCAATCCTCTCCCATATTTAGAACAAAAATACTTCTGTGAAATGATTAAAAATCAATCATAGGTATCTTTTACAAGTTTGTTGAATTTCATAGAACTGAGTAAGATCCTTGGTACTCTTGATAAATATAATAGTTATTACAGTTGCTCCTCTGTTTTGATAATTGAGAAACCGTTCAACCTCTTTCTTTGAATTGTATTAATTGTCAAAATCCAAGGCAATCGGATAATCACTTGTTCAGATTTCCTGAGAAATGAAAAGAAGATTCAATATCTTATAAAAACATGCAGAAGTCTTCATCGTTGAAATATATCTGCATTTCACCCTCTTTCTCCCTTTGTATATTATCTGTTGGCATGTGCTATAATGTATGTGTATATGCTTTATACGTGTGAGTTGCTGGCCCTTCGAGGGCACAACAGTGCTCAAAGTAAGTATCACATACCTTCTTAGTATATATGAAGTCTACGTGTTATATATTCATGGATAAATATGAGAAACAAAATAAACAAGTTTAGCCTAGTATTGGTTATTTGGGTATTGGGTTTAAGCTTCATCATTTTCCTAATGATTTTTTATTTTACATCTTATTTATATTTCCTTTCTCTGATTACATCTCATTGCCCTTGCTAATTGTCTAACGCTGATGATCATCAGGCAAAGTACTGCTAAGAACAAATTCATAAATTTTTGTGGCCTTCACCAGTGAAAGGGCTAAGAAATATTAAACTCTGTTGCTAACTTTTAGAGATAATTGTTTGTTGAGGTATTGTCAATTGCTTTAATCTATTCAGTCCTGTACAATTTTGCCTCTGGACATTATTAGTGTCAAAGACCCCTCACAGGTAGGGGCTATAAGCTATAAGTCTTCAAAAAATTAACTGGAATTTGTGGACTAAAATAATATATTCTTTCTTTTCCCGCTGGGATATAATTTGCTTTGTTTTCGTCCTACCACCTAAATCGCTTAAAAAAAGAGATTAGGGTTGAGGGTGTCATACGAGTTATCCCTTTTCTTGGTATCTCACCATCATATTTCATGCTTGCACTCAAGTTGAACGATAACAAATGAAGTAAAGGATATATTTACGCAACATGGTGAAATATTTTAAATGTTCATTTTCCTTAGGTTCTTTCGGATAGGAGCAGTTGTTCTTGCACTTCATGATGCGAGTGATGTATTTCTGGAAGCTGCTAAAGTTTTTAAATATTCCGAGAAAGAGCTTGGAGCTAGCTTTTGCTTTGGATTGTTTGCTATGTCATGGCTTGTACTAAGGCTCGTGTTCTTTCCATTTTGGGTTATACGGTCCTCAAGGTTAGCTCCAACTAATTCTTATTTTACATCATATTCAGTCACTTTTCTTCTAATCGATTTTCCTTGTTGCCATTCACAGCTACTACTTGTGTGAATCCTTGAACCTGTTGGAGCCATATGACATGACATTGTACTATGTCTTTAACACAATGTTATTGACATTGTTTGTTTTCCACATTTACTGGTGGATTCTCATATCCACGATGATCTCCAGACAGCTCAAAAATAGAGGAAAAGTTGGAGAAGATATAAGATCAGGTATGGGTCTATATTTTTATTTCAAAATTTATGTCTGATGGTTTACTTGCTGTCAAATAAGTAAAATACTTATTAGGATGTCAGGTTGCTTGTGTGCATATGGTTGGGAAACCTGCTTATTTTTATCACTTACCACAGATAGAAAAAAAAGATACAATAAATAAAATCTATTCATTTCATCATTCAGAAAAATTTTATCTGCTCATAACTTTTCCCCCTTGAAGAAATCCTTTTGTGGTTGCTAAGTTTTACTGATTTCATCAGTTATTTTTTCCCCCCTTTAAAAATTCTCCTATTGACATCTACCGATAATTCGCAGATTCAGATGATGACTAGTAAATTGTAAGATGATCGTGCTCGGAAACTTGGTTTTTACTTGTATATTCGGTTCTGGGGAATAATTAGTTGATTGAGTGTAGAGTTGAAACAGATGATACTTTTTCTTGTATTATACATACATAAAATTGGGTAGGAGTATATAGCTTTTCACATTGTAAATTATCTTTTCACAGAAGAATAAATAATAATTCAACGAGTTATTAATTATCTTTTCAGTCATTGTATAAATAACACATTGTTTTTGCTACTGCTTTAACGGAAATGAATCCAAAAATGTATTTATTTGTTGAAAAAAAAAAAAAAAGATTCTAAGTTATCTCATATCGAGCACAAGGTGAGGCATTATTCCAGAGCAATAAATAATAATTCAATAGTGTTCACACTGCATATACAGAGTGTTGGACAAGGAAAAAGAAGAAGGAAAAAAAATTGCAATTATTTGAAATTAATCCAAGGACTAAATCATCTTCTCATCCCAGAAGTTATAATTGGAGCTACTGTAACTCCGCGCTGTTGCCTATCCATGTTGGCTTCCCAACCTTCAATTTCACCAACCAAACATACATATAAGTAGCTACATTTACTTATAAGTAAATAAGTAAGTTTTAAATGATTAAGTTTAAAATGTTTCAACTGTAAAGCATAATATGCCCCCATTTGGTTCTTATTTTTCACCAAAAAAAAATTCAATTTTTTACTGTTATTTTTCTAAGTCAGCCGTCATTTTTTACTTCTTCACTACAGATGAAACTCACTTTTCTCTCTAACTGTTAAAAAATTAATTTTCAAAATCATTATCGAACAGTCCCTATATTTTGATAGGAGCTTGCAAAAAAAAAAAAAAAAAATCGTACCAATTCCCATATCAAATCCACGACTATGAAGCTCTCTGTATTCTTGACAAAGTGCACATGTTTCACAGCAAAAATGCACGAGGCAATCCACGCAAGGTGATTCTTCCAAGTCATATTGGCCCCTCAGTTTGGATCGATAGAAACAAGAGTATAAGCATGCAAAACCAGTAAGAAGAAGCAGTGCATATTTTGTCCCACTTTCTGCACAAGCTGCAATGTCAAAACCACATAAATCATCTTCAATGAAGAGTCATAGTATTCTTTAAGATCATGTACGATTATCAATGATGGAGTATATCGCTTTGGAATATAGTCTAACTCGAACTTCAAGTATTGGAAGTATTAAGAGCATCTCCAAGATAATGGTAGACTGTTTAAAAAATTTGGCAAATAAGTAAGAATAGATATTGGTGTTTATAAAAAAATTCCTCTTCAATGCAAGCGGACAAGGATTCTATCAAGCCGAGTGACGAACAAAACAATAGACATTGTAAAATCAAGCCCCCGTTTGGCCCACATTCTTGTCAAATTTTAATGGTTGAAATAGTAATTTTTTTTTTAAAAATGTGTGGTTCAAAAAGAATGAAAAGTTTATGATTTGCGTATAATATTATTTTATGGAAGATTATATGGTTGAAAATAAGAGAGAGAGAGAGAAAATGAAAATGAGAATGGGGGCCAAACGGGGGCTAATATTTCTTATTAATATTTATTTAAGAAATTAAAGTGAAGTGAATCATGGAATGCGCAATTGACATGTATAAATTATGAAATTGATTGTTTATTCATTAGATATCAATATCATGTGATCTGAAAATTTGTCTATTTACCTATCATGTAAATTGCAATCTATTGATAGATTGGAGATGCTCTAAAAGAAAATGGCACTTGCATTTCGTGTGTGTCAAAATATAGCTTACGTTTAGCTCATGCTTATAAACTGTTTATAAAAAATTAAACCTCCTTTTGTCCACATATTTTGAGGAACTCATAAGTACTATATTTATTCATCACTCATCTTTATTTATTTATGAAAAAATTAATTTATAAACACTTTTCAGACATGCTAATAGCTCATTGACGTATAATCTTGCAACTCACACGCAAAATATAAAATATATAGTTATGGCTTGTTTGTTATGATGGATCAAATTATGAGGAGTCTTAAAGAAAAATTAAAGAAAAAAAAATCTTATTTACGGTAGTTTTCACTATAGTCTAGTAATAGTGCTGGAGGCTATTCTGGATAGTATATCAAAAAAGGATTTTTAACTCTTTATTCTTCTTTAATAATTTATCGTGTGTAGCATGAGTCCTCTTTAACAAACATGTCATTCGTAATAAAAAAATAAAAATAAATAAATAAATGTCAATACGGCATAAAGACAATCATTAGTATTTTTTTTTGAAATGATGTTTAGATGAAATAAAAAGTAAAGGGAATTCATGGTTCATAGGTAACTACACCAACATCTAAGGGAATATAGAGATGAAGACAGCAGATCTGTAAAATCAACTATTCTTCCGATTTGAATAAGTTTCCTGAATCTCATCTTGTGAAGAAATTCAAAAAAGAACGATGACGAAGGTAGATATTAAGAATATATTAGTGTGACAAGTAACTTACGTGATGAACCCTTACTCACTATCTCAGCAATCTGTCCAAAAGTGATGCAGGGACAAAACCAAGTGATTAAACCTAGTATACAACATAAGAAAAAAAAAAGATAGTATTATTTTCACTAAATAATGAAATACTCAATTAATTATCAGAACTGGAATCAATACTCAGTACAATTTCCAGGATCATCACAGCAGTGGCAAAGACCAGTTGACCACCTCGCAGGTGCCCTGCCGGGGACTACACGGCCGGGGGAGAGTAGTGGTGGGGCATTAGGCTGTTTAGGAATGTATTCGGGAACTCCGGTGGCGGGGATGGATCCCGGATAGCCGTCACCATGGTGGTTCTGATACATTTTTTGACCTGATGGAGAAGAGTTGCTGTGCAAGGAGATATGTTAAAGCTTACTTGTATATACACAGACTCACATGAGAGAAGAGTTGGCCTCTCAAGGCACATGGCAACCAGAGGCCGCATTACCGACAAGTTCATAAATCAAGGATAATTATTTTTATTATTATTTTGAATAATTTTTGGAAGACTTGTAATAAATGGAGATACTCAAATCTGCTCTAATATTTGTTTATATAAATCTGCATGTGCGCAGGCCGCAGAGAATTTAGAAAGACTTGTTCATGTGACTAGGGTCTTTGTGTTAGTTTTTCCCATACCGGTTTCTCCGGTTAAAAACTGAACCTAGATATGGCTCACATTTTCCATCGTTTAGGGATGTGAATAACTTCCAAATAATGTCCCAAGTGCCTACCCCATGTTTATGTTCGGTTGAAAACTGCTCTATGATAGATGGAGCCTCTATATATGCAGTTTTTTTTCCACCGGTTGGGTCCCTAAGCCTTCTAATCTCATACAAAAAAATAATAATAATAAATAAATAACTAAAAATACACCATCTAATCGAGGTTGAGCGAGGTTTAGAAGCACCTAAAATCGATAATAAAGTATGTGTGAAAAGCAGTAGTTATGTTTTACAGTTCCATTTTATTCCGTGTTTGATCTATATGCATTTTTAGATCATTGAAGCATGTTTAGATCACTTAGATATTGCTTACAGTTGGTATCAAAGCCTTATTTGCCTCTGCCTTGCTTGTTTTGCTCTCTGTAAATTTTTCCAAAATTTAATAGTGTTGATGTAATTTTGGCTTAGATTTCAGATCCTTGTTTCATAAGTTTTTGATAAAAAGTAAGGTTGGAAATTATCAGAAAATTGGATTTCTAACAATTTTGGGATTTGAAACGTAAATTTTGGTGTTCAGAATGCGTAGAAACTGTCAGGTTCCTTTTCGGGTCAGAATCGGATCAAAATGACCCGACTAGAGGTTGATGACGATCTTCATTAAAAAGATTTCTGAAATATGGTTTTGCAGATAGACAACCGAATTGTTTGACGACCTTTATCTCAAAAGGCTTGAAACACATGCCAGACTTGTAGTGACCCTTTTTTTATACTATTATTTTAGATAATTTCTTTATATCCATCTGCATGGTTTGAACGCCCAAACCAATGTCAACGATAATAAATGGTGTGGGTCCTATAGTGAATTCCAACCACTGTAATTTTGGGGCAATTAATTTTGAAATGAAGACAGGTTATAAATACATACTATGTGGTTTTTTTTTTTTTTTAATGTGGTAAAATTATTTATTTTTCCATTTTGTGTGTATGATTTTTATTAGTTTGTAATACATGCAATAGTAAGTTAAATAGTTTAGTCCATTAAAAATTTCGTTTTGTGCTCATATTGTTTATGGATTTGTACAATTTATATGAGCACATTTGTGAATTATATTTAATGTTGGTTATTCATATATTTTTAATTAATTAGGGAGTAGCCACATCATCCTTAATTATGCAAAATTATATACTAAAGTAGAGGATCACATATTGAATAAAGACATTTATTGTCGTTGATCATATTGAATATAATAAATTTTATCCCACAGAATTTTTTATTATATTTATATGATTAACTAGGATAAAATATTAAATTACTTTACTAATTATCCACAGAAAATATGAATTGGAACGTGATTTGATAGTTTTATCATGAAATTAATACATGAATTTAATTGAGTAGGACTTTAGCCCACAGGCAAGTTTTGCGTCACTGGATTCATATCTTTGAAGCATGATTTATGTTTGCTAGTTTCAATTATAAGCATGTATGTTTAATTTTTATGCAATTAAGTAACATGCAAATTTCTCTGATGTTAAAGTGATATTCCCGAACTAAAAGGTGATAACTATAAAGTTTGGAAGGAGAGGGTTCTTCTTCATTTAGGGTGGATAGACATTGATTATGCCATCAGGAAATACGAACCAAAAATTACTTCGACCAGCACTCTAGATGAAATTGCTCTTTATGAACATGGGAGCGATCCAATCGCCTTAGTATGAAGTTCATAAATACCAAGATTTCTACTGGCATTCACGGTTCCGTCGAAGAGCATAAAAATGTGAAGCCATTGTTGAAGGCTATTGATGAGCTATTTGATACTTCAGATAAAGCACTTGTTAGCACCCTGATTATGAAGTTTTCAACCATGAGGATCACTACTGTGAGAGGTGTGTGAGCATATTATGCAAATGAGGGACATTGCAGCTCAATTGAAGACTCTTGAGGTTGATATATCTGAGTCTTTCCTTGTGCACTACATTCTAAACACTCTTACACATCAATATAGATCCTTCAAGATATCCTATAACACGCATAAGGATAAATGGTCAATTAATGAACTTCTGGCCACGTGTGTTTAGGAAGAAGGGAGACTGGCAATAGAAATGGATGAAAGTGCGTTGATGACAACACAAAGATAGGACCAAAACTAAGCCAAAAAGAAGGGAAAAGGTAAAATACTGCCGAAGGTGGAATTAAAAATGGAATCCTTTGTAGAAGAAACACATGAAGAAGGATTGCACCAATTTCTGGCTTGACAAGAAAGGTAAACCGATCTCATTTGTCTGTTATGAATCTAATATGGTTGATGTTATTTATAACACATAATGAATTGATTTTGATTCTACAATCCATATTTCGAATACCTTGCAGGGTATGCGAAGCCTAAGGAAACCGATGGAAAATGAGCAATGCATTTATTCATGAAACAAGATGCACTCACATGTGAAGGCTGTTGGAAAATGTAGTTTAGTTTTAAGTGGTAATTTTATTTTGAATTTAAAGAAAGACATTTTATATTTCAAGTTTCTCTAGGAATTTGATTTTAGTTTCAAGACTTATACCTTTAGGATATTCCTTTAACTTTTCAGAAACATCTTTCGATTTATTTTATAAATCTATTCTTGTTGGGAATGATCCATTATCTGATTGTCTTTTCTCTATTAATTTGCAAAATAATACTACAGCTATGCATGTTCACACTGGTATGAAACGATGCGTTATAAATGAAGATTCCTCTATGTTGTGGCACTGGAGATTGGGACATATCTCCATAAAAGGAATTAAGAAATTAGTAAATGATGGAGTACTTAGTACTTTGAATTTTAATGATTTTGACACTTATATAGACTATATTAAGGGAAAGCAAACCAACAAGTCCAAGAAATGTGCTAAGAGGAGTACAGATATGTTAGAGATCATACATTCAGCTATTTGTAGTCTAGACATGGACTCGTATTGTTCGAAATACTTCATCTCTTTCATTGATGATTATTCACGATACATGTATATCTACTTGCTTCATAATAAGAACGAAGCACTAGATGTCTTTAAAATTTTTAAGGCTGGAATAGAGAAACAATGTGAAAAAACAAATTAAGATCGTGAGAAAAGATAGAGGTAGAGAATATTATGGTAGGGTACACTGAGGATGGACAGGCACCTGGTTTATTTGCGAAGTTTCTTCAAGAGCGTGGGATAGTTGCCTAATATACCATGCTTAGTTCTCGGGACCAAAATGGTGTAGTAAAAAGAAGAAATCGAACTTTAATGGACATGGTGAGGAGTATGTGAAGCAACTCCAAACTTCCTGAATCCCTGTGGACCAAACAAATTCCAACCAAAGCTGTCCCTAAGACTCCATTTGAATTATGGAAAAGTTGGAAACTGAGTTTGCGACATATATGAGTTTGGGAATACCCGTCTAAAGTAAGAGTTTACAACCCACAAGAAAAGAAGCTAGACCTAAGGATCATTAATGGATACTTCATTGGATACGCCGAAAGGCCTAAAGGGTACAGATTCTATTATCCAACTCACAACACTAGGATTGTAGAGTTAAGAAATGTGGAGTTTCTTGAAAATGACGTGATTAGTGGGAGCAATCGATTCCAGGACATTGTTTCTAAAAAGAATCATATTGAAGCTCAACCTTCAATTTCAAGTGGTAGATTGATTATCAACACCCCTCAAGTTTAAACAGGTGTTGGACAACCAATTGTTGAAGTTCCACAAGTTGCTGGTGATAATCCAGTGGATCAAGATGTTCAAGAATTGCTAGAAATTGTTGAACAACCAGTTGAACAACATGATCTTTAGGTAAATGTTGATACAAAATTGAGGAGATCTACTAGAGCAAGGAAATCAGCGATAACTAGTGATGATGTTATGTATTTGTAAGAATTGGAGCTAAAAATGATCCTGAAATGTTTTCATAAGCCATGAATGGTAAAGAATCAAGTTTATGGTATGATGCCATGAAAGATGAGATGGATTTTATGACATCTAATGGAATCTGGGATCTTATTAAGTTGCCTAACGGTGCAAAAGCCATAGGATGCAAATGAGTCTATAAAATGAAGAGGGACTCATTAGGCAACATTGAAAGATATAAAACAAGACTCGTTGCTAAAGAATTTACTCAAAAGGAAGGAATCGACTACAAGGAGACATTATCTCTTGTATCAAAGAAAGATTCACTTCATATCATTATGGCATTTGTTGTACATTTCGATTTGGAGTTGCAACAAATGAATATGAAAACGACATTTCTCAATAGAGATCTAGAGGAAGAGGTTTATATGAAACAACCAGAAGGATTTTTCTCTACCGATAGTGAGCATTTGGTATGCAAGCTCAAGAAATCTATATATAGACTAAAACAAGCTTCCCTTCAATGGTATTTGAAATTTCATGATGTTATCTCTTTTCTTAGATTTGTAGAGAACATTGTGGATCAATGTATATACCAGAATGTTAATGGAAGTAAGATTTGTTTTCTTATTCTGTATGTGAATGACATTTTACTTGTAACCAATAATAAGAGTTTGCAACATAAGGTGAAACAATTTCTATCTAAAATTTTTTAGATGAAAGATATGGATGATGCAACTTATGTTATTTGTATTAAGTCTAAAGGGACAGATCTCGAGGTATTTTTTGTATGTCTCAAGAGACCTATATCAACAAAGTTTTAGAATGATTTCGGATGAAAGATTTTTTACTAAAATATAGCTCCCATTATGAAGAGTAATAAGTTTAATTTGAGCCAGTGCCCGAAAAATGATCTTAAAAGGGAACAAATGAAGAACATTCTTATGCTTCTGTTGTTGGAAGCTCGGGTATGCACAAGACTTGACATTGTATTTGTTTCTGGGATGTTGAGAAGATATCAGAGTAATCCAGGTATGGACCACTGGAAGGTTGCAAAGAAAGTGATGTGATACCTTCAAGGGATAAAAGATTACATGCTTATGTACAAACGGATTGATAATCTGGAAGTGACTAGCTACTCTGATTCTGACTTCGTTGGCTGTATTGATTTGCGAAAATCAATATCAGGATATATCTTTATATTTGCTGGTGGAGCTGTATCTTGGAGAAGTGCAAAGCAAACCTTGACTACTATTTTCACTATGGAGGCTGAGTTCATATCTTGTTTTGAAGCTACCTCGCATGGTGTATGGATGAAGAGTTTCATTTCTAGACTCAGAGTCATGTTTTCGATTTCTAGGCCATTGAAGATATATTGTTATAATTCAACTGTAGTCTTTATGGCTAAGAACAACAAAAGTGGTAGTCGTAGCAAGCACATTGACATCAAATATCTGGCCATAAGGGAACATATTAAAGAGAAAACAATGGGCATTGAAGACATTAATACTGAATTGATGATTGTTAATCCTTTGACAAAAAGCATGCTACCATTAAAATTTAAGGATCATGTAAATAGAATGAGACTTGGTTCCTTTGCGTGATTTTCATTGTAAAAACGAATGTTAATTTAATGAAAATCTATTTGTGATATTTCTCATATTTGTTTCCTTGTGTACACATTCAATTTGGGAAATATCATTGATGTTTGGACCTAAAATAAACATATGGTTTATTCATTAAGTAACATGGGTTAGTTTTAAGAAATATGATGCATTGTGAGAAATGGAAGATAATACTCGTATTTAGAGGACATACTGCCGTGATTCGTGTATTTTATTTCTTACTATGGTGAACGATGAAATATATGGACCAAGTGGGAGAATGTTAGTTTTTCCCATGTCAATTTCTCCTGTTAAAAACTGAACTTGGACATGATCCACATTTTTCATCATTTAGGGATGTGAATAACTTCCAAATCATGTCCTAACTGCCTTCCTCACGTTTGTGTTCGGTTCAAAACTGCTCTATGATAGATGGAGCCTATATATATGCAGGCTTTTTTTTCCCCACCGGTTGGGTCCCTAAGTCTTTCAATCTCATACAACAAAAAATTTACCATCTAATCGAGGTTGAGCGAGGTTTAGAAGCACCTAAAATTGATAATAGCGTGTGAAAAGCAATGGCAAGAGGTATGTTTTTCGGTTCCGTTTTATCCCGCATTTGATCTATCTGCATTTTTAGATCATTGGAGCATGTTTAGATCATTTAGATATTGCTTACACTTTGTATATTACATAAATTAACAAATTTGATGCCACTTGAAGCCCGAGGTATTGAGTTATTTGAAGAGAGCCACATAATAAAGTTTAATTTGCAATTTTAATATGTGGTCGAGGACTTATAGTTAAGAATTGAATTTGAAAAACCAAATTGGATGACAACCAAGCTGATGAAGAGTTACGACACGAATAACGAGGTGCCAGTTTTTGGTTCACCTTGGTGAAGTGGTTTTGGGGTATTGTTACTGTTGGTTGATTCTCGACTTAGTTCAGAAGAGATTTTGGATAGAGAATGCGCTAATAAAGCGAATATTCCACAATGTGCAATGAATGTGGCGCATGCGAGTTAGGTGTGAGTAGAGGCTCCACCTTTCTATTCGAGTGCAAGGGAATATGCTGGAGACGCTTTTGGTTACTTTTACGACGAAGTTATAAATTTTTCCAATTTTTAGTCCAATAATAAATTCGTAAAATCTCCTCCAATTAGAGATTTCACAAGTGATCAAGAATCAAAGAGAAACTGCGCTCAACGTATGATGACGAGAATGTCTAGGGTGAATGGAGCGTAGCTTCTTTAGTTCCTACATCGTATCTGCAAACGGTATAAGTTTAATTTTTACATTTTAGGTGAGGTCAACCCTAAGCTCCCATGTACATATTATGTTTTATCTTCTTTTTAAATGAAACACGCCACAGCTAGTGGTTTAAAAAATATATGCATAATTATTCTTGGAAAAAGTATTATTAAGTAGCTTTTAAAATAAATTATCAGTTTTGTTTCCCAAAGTTTAAGAAAACTAAATTACTTATTTTAAAAGTAATTTTACCATATCAAGGCTGTGTTGCCTTTATATCTTTGACTTTGTCCTTGAACTTCTTACCACTTACCCTTCAAACTTATTTCGAAGATGTTTAAGTTATGAGTAATGTTATTTGCAGTCATTTACTATCATAGTCGGCATATGTAACATACATTAATGTGGTAAATTTTTTACCTTATACAACAAATCACTAACAGCCACTTGTATATTACGTAGGACGACTGTGGTAATGAGTGACTACAAATAGCATTATTCTTAAGTTAAACTTTATCGTTCGTAATCAATATCTTTGAAACTATTGACTCCTTTAGTTCACATTGTTCAGATTTTAAAAAAAACAAAAAACAAAAATCTCCCAAATTGATTTAATTAGTAAGGAAAATATTCTATGTATTGGTCAAATATTTACGTGGTTTCATCCAATTCAATTAAATAAACATGCTATTTTGTAAGTAAAAAAGAACACAAAGTGAATCATTATTGCAGACAATTCAATCAACTACATATGGTTCACACCAACTCACACAGAGACCAAAACAATTATGAATGAAAAAAAAAAAACGAAATTTTGACAAGCAAAAATTGCAATTACATAAAATTAAACCAAGAGGACTAATTCATCTTCTCATTCCCGAAGTTATAATTGGAGCTACTGTTACTCCACGTTGTCGCCTATCCATGTTGGCTTCCCAACCTTCAATTTCAAAGAATCATATAATCAGCCCTCGTGCAGATATATCGTGGCCAATGAATGGATAGAGAGATTCTTCAATAAGATAAATTATGCAACTGAGGACGATTTTTTTTTTTTTTTTTTTTTTTTTTTTTTTTTTTTTTTTTTTTTTGGGGTTTTTTTTTTTTTTTTTTTTTTTTTTTTTTTTTTTATGATTGATATTTAGGGGTTGTTTGAGGATTTTTATTTTTATTTTTTGTGCACCGATTTTGATCTTTTTTGGATGGCATAATTAATGAAAGGTTGAAAAAATCGATGCTTGTTAGTTTTCTTAAGCACTAATTTTCAATGTTTAAAAACTATTGTAGTATAATTTTGATCATCTTTCTCAATCCACCAATTTAGTGGATTTCTACTGTTTCTCAATTTTCTCTTTTAATTTTACTCCTATAAAATAGTTATTCAAAGTCCACATATTTTGTTCAAAATTAACTTGTAAATAAAAGTACATTAACTAAAAAAGATATATATAAGCAAACTAAATTAATTTATAAGTTAAAAATTATTCATCAGATGAAAATACATTGTATAAAAAATATTTATAAAGTAAAAATACAACTAATAAGACAAATATTCCTTTATAAAATATAAAAAGTTACTTATGAGTAAAAATTCACTTGCATGTACAAAATTATTTAAAAGTATAAAATTAACTTATAGGTAAAAAAACTGCATCTAACTCATAATTTTAATTAGGAGTAAATATTTCACTTCCTGAGTTAAATATAACTTATATGTAAAAAATTATTTATAAGTAAAAATTCATATAAGAAATTATAAATTGAAAATTTCACTAAACGGCATAGATGTAATTTTTTTTTTCTTTTAAAAGCTTTCAGAATCGCGGAATAATAAATTCTCAAACATAAGTTTGTCTGTTTTAAAAATCGTTACCAAAAATCACCCAAATCTTACTTTGACAAACCCCCATAATTGATACCCAAAACTCCCAATCAAGCCCTTAGAGGTGAGAAAGAAGTCAACTTAAAGAATTCCCCCTAAGCGAATATGATGTCTCGTTTTTCTAAACAAAAAAATTTGAGAGAATTTGTTGACCTATGTTATAATTAAACACGATTAACAAATAAAAGTTTAATATTTTGAAGGGTATATTCATACCTATTCCCATATCAAATCCACGCTCACGCAGCTCTCTGTATTCTTGACAAAGTGCACATGTTTCACAGCAGAAATGCACAAGGCAATCCACACAAGGTGATTCTTCCAAGTCATATTGGCTCCTCAATTTTGATCGATAGAAACATGAATATAAGCATGCAAAACCAGTCACAAGAAGCAGTGCATATTTCATCCCACTTTCTGCACAAGCTGCAATACCAAAACAATAAATAGTCTTAAATTATTCGAGTCGACCTAAAAGTCAATCTCTTGATCATATTGGAAGACCTAAAAGATTCTTCCAATGTATCATTTTCGGGATCTAATATTGAAATTCGTAGGAGTAAGAAATCCCCACTCTAAGGACACGAGCATCAAATATATACGCGTGGAAAATGACATAGCTCGTTTGCGTATATATCTTTCAAGGAAGGGTAAAAAATGACATTATATATAACATAGTTAAATAGAAAATAATAAAAAAAAAAATCCTATTTCCAGTTCATCATAAATTGAGAGAGACGAGAGAAAATATGGTGTGATTTTTCTCTTGTAAACTTATTTCTATCATAGTGAATTATTACAGTGGTAAAAGATGATGTAGTCTCACGTTGAGGCGAATATTTATAAATTTTGCGTGTTCTTTCATTTCTTTTTCCTTGGGATTTTATTGCTTTTAGTGATATATAATTAGGATTTCTAATCCTCAACATATAAACATTGTACAGTTTATGACATGTTTGACGAGGAATATTCAATAATATTGGGCAAGATATTAAGAAAACAAATAAAAATTTCAAATTTGATCATTATACTATTTAGTCATTGTCAAAGAAGTAATATCGTGGTTTTATCTTCGGAAACAATATAAAAGGAAAAGAGTACGTCGAAAAGAATCAATTAGTGTGACATGCTTAGGTAACTTACGCGATGAACCTTTACTCGCTATCTCAGCAATCTGTCCAAAAGTAATGCAGGGACAAAACCAAGTGATGAAACCTAGTTTACAAAATCAGAATAATAATAATAATAATAAGAAACAGATCACTAAATAATGAAATTCTCAATTTAGCAGAATTTGAATAAATTGCCATACAATTTGCAGGATCATCGCAGCAGTGGCAAAGACCGGTTGACCACCTTCCCGGTACCCTTCCGGCAACGACATGAGGGGAGAGTAGAGGATGAGGGACATAAGGCTGTTTAGGAATGTTTTCCGGAAGTCCGGTGGCGGCGATAGATCCCGGATGGCCGTCAGCATAGTGGTGTGTTGGCGGATACATTTTGTCACTGATGGACAAGAGTTGATGTGTATTGAGGATAGAAATTACAGTGTGTGTATATATATATGTTTTTAGAGAGCTCACACTTGGAGGGATTTTTTACAAGGTCAACTTTATTCGTTTTATTAAAGATGTAATATAACAATTATTTCGCAGTCGGTATAAATTGAAACTAGTTGTTATTTTTTAAAACAATTTTCATAAAACATGCATTAAATCGAGATATGCATATCTTCTCTACAAGTTGTTTATTTAAATCTGCATGTGGGCAGAGACGTAGAGAAGACTTGTGCCTTTGACTACCAAGTCTTTATCTACTGCATTAACAAAAGGTGGTTATAATGTTACAACATATTTTATTCCATATTTGAATTATAGTTAAACTTCTCAATTTTTATTCATTGTAACAATTATTACCTTAATTTTTTCGTCATTTCTTATCTTCAACTTTCCATTAATTTATATATCTCATCCTTGATGATGATTTATATTAAAATATTATATTTTAATGTTTTGAAATGAAGGTAAAATAATTTTCGCACTTTTATTATTTATTTTTTTTTAAAAATGAATGAAAAATAAGTTATTTTTTGCCATTTTAATGAATTTTTGGACACAAGACTATTATCAAATACAAAATATATTAACTAATAGAAAGTTTGAGGATGAGAATGATATAAAAAATCGTTAAGTACACAAGTGTTATAATGAGCAAATATTAAGAACCTTAAGTGCAATTAGAAAGCGGTGCAAGAAATAAAAATTATGGTATGAATATAATTATCCTTAACAAAACCATAGATATGTCCACGTTTGGTTAATAAAAGAAAAAAAAATACTAATTTTAAAATAATTATGAATGAATGTACCCCATTATTCTTTCTTTAAAAAAATTTCGAACAATAAATTTATTTGTTAAAATAGGTCCTAGAGAAGTTTTTGAGACAAAATTACAAATGGTCTATATAATTGATCATATAATCATGCTCTATTTTTTCTTTAAAATTGAATATCGTAGTAGCATGATTTATTAATATAAAAAATAAATAAAGTACATCTTAGGGGTGGAAGTCAAACCTCTAGAGCAGTAAGCTTACATAAAATCATATGATAAAACGTGTACAAAATTTTGTGTGATCGAGTCACGCTTCGCATAATCTTGCTCCAGTTACATACTTGGAGGATTGTTGTCAATCCTTGAACGAATCTCTAATAATCTCAACGTCTAACTATATTTCAAATCCAAATTATCCACGAATCATATATTTTTCATTAATATATCTGAATGCATCCGACATAATTTATTTCAGATAAAATAATACGACATTTGTTGTCAACTTTGTATCATGTGTTTGTTGGGCGCAGAAGCTCCAATAATACACATTGATTCCAAATCGGATTATAAAGAACGAGATTTAATGACAATATTGAAATATACTAGATCACATCACGAAAACGCAAGATTGAATTTGTAAAGAAAGAACACAAAGGGTAAACGCAGAGGAACGATGTTTATTAAACTGAACAATATGGAGAATACAAGACAGTCTAGCAATACAGTTTCTGTGTTACTCTCTCTACAAACTGACCAGAGGAGCCTCGTATTTATAGGCTAACCCTAGAAGAGTTCTAAAAGGCAAGAAAATATATTACAATTAGGAGATCCAATTTCAACAGGATTTTGTTTCCTTATTCAAATTAGTTTCCTTAAACCCTAAGTTAATATTCTCCTAGTCCAAGTCGAAAACGCCTCTTCAAAAGACTCATATTTGAGTCATACTCCTAACAATCTCCACCTTGACTCAAATTCCGGTGCTACAAACGAAACTCCTAGATTTCAAATTCATCTGCAATGAAATTAACTGGCCGAATCTCCTCAAAACATTAACCACTCCATAGAAATTAAACGCTCATCCTCTGCTCGGCGTCCATAACCGATACCCGAACCCAATCCCCATGGTTCCCAATTTCACTAAGGAATTAATGTTGATCACACAGGGCCAAACAAAACACACCCTGTAGCAAGAACTAAACCATATGCTTGATTAGAAGGCCCCTTATTGGAACTATCGCCTTCAACATCCCCAGAAGTATCCCAGACATTACTGACACCACGATACCTACGCTCGATGAGTCCTACCCCAGCAACTGAACACAATGTACTTGCTGAAATTGGTGGCAAGCGGAATCACCAACGCTTTCCCTAGCAGTGTTCTGAATCGACTCAGAGCCAAATACAAGAGGTACTGCACCAAACTGAACTTCCACCAAGGTACTAAACTTGTCTAAATGTCTCCTCTTAACTGGTTGTGCACTCTCCTGTAAAATGTACAATTGGGATATTTTCCGTCCCTCCAGTACAACTTGAACTCGCTTTTGGACTTTCAAGACTCCACCTCCTCCAGAGAATTTATAACTTTTTGCATCCAGGGTACTTAACAAAATGAGATTCCTTTTCAGGTCAGAAACATGTTAAACTTGAGCAATTGTTCTAAATTTTCCATCTCGCGGCTGACTCGACTGATCCTAGCAATACGACCAGATTGTTTGTTTCCCATTACAACTCCACCTTACTGAATAGCCTCATATGTCTGAAATAAATTTTCATCGAAACACATATGGTGTGAACATACTGAATCAAGAATCCACTTCTCGTCAGGCCTAGACTCCACATCAGATACCACGATCAACATCACTTCTTCGCTATCTGAACAATTCTCAACTATATTGGTTTCATTTGAATTTAAAGGTTGCGCCTCACGATTTGTAGCTAAATCATCTTTAGCTTACAACATATCGCAATCCTTCCGAATATGTCCCTTCCTTTTTTTGCAGTAGTAACATGTCACATTGCTAAATCTAACTCTCGATCTGTCTCTTCGTCGACCACCATGTGAGAGCTTCCCCATCCCTTGATGTAGTTTCAACCAAATGCTTCATTTTCTCCTTTAAGTGCAAAGCATCATAGACACTTCTATAGTCGAAGTATCTTGATTATACAAGATAGTATCCCGAAACGACGCATATGACTCAGGCAGCAAACACAACAGGATCAAGGCAAGTTCCTTTTCATCGTACTTAACCTCCAACGTCTCCAGATCTGCAACTATTTCCTTAAACACGACAATGTGATCTTCCAACGATCCTCCTTTCACCATACGATGGGAATACAACTTCTGCTTAAGAGCCAGTTTACTAGTAAGACTTTTCGTCATACATAACTGCTATAGTCTCAACCACAAAGCAGCGATCGTCTTCTCCTTCAAGACATTCTGCATAATATTATTGGATAGATGAAGATGAATCAACGACACAGTCTTCCTATCCTTTCGTTGTTTCTACTTCATTATCCAATTAACTGGCATCTTCTCAAAACCTAGCAATGCATCGTCTAAATCCAACTGCATCAGAACAGCCCTCATTTTTACTTGCCACAAAGAAAATATTGTATTATGATCTAGTTGCGAAATATCATGCTTCAACCCAGTCATCCCAAAAAAATCTCAACAATCTACAAAAGGAATTAAGCTCTAATACCACTTGTTGGGGGCGAAAGCTCCAATAACGAGATTTAATGATAATATTGAAGTATACTAGATCACACCACGAAAACACAAAATTGAATTTGTAAAGAAATAACACAAAGGGTAAACATAGAGGAATGATGTTTATTAAATTGAACAATATAGAGAATACAAGAGAGATTATCAATACTGCTTCTATGTTACTCTCTCTACAAACTTACCAGAGAAGCCTCATATTTACAGGCCAACCCTAGAAGAGTTCTAAAAGGCAAAAAACTATATTACAATTAGAAGACTCAATTTCAACATGATTTTGTTTCCTTATTCAACTTAATTTCCTTAAACCCTAGGTTAATATTCTGCTAGTCTATGTCGAATACGCATCTTCAAAAAACTCCTATTTGAGTCATACTCCTAACAGTGTTGGTATGTTAATGCAAGATAATACCAAGAGAAAATCCAAAATCAATAAAGAAATTAAAGAAATACGATAAACAAAACTTTCCTAATGCGGGACAATACCAATAGAATATCCAAAATCAATTAAGAAATGAAAGAAATAAGATAAACATTATTTCCTACATTAAACTTGTGTTTAGCTCTATCTTTTCTAGTTATGTTTATTTTTTTTAAATATAGTTGTGATAGGACTTTTATCTTTTATTTAATTTGGGTTATAATTTCTTTATTGATTAGAATATGAATTTTAATTAGATTAAGATTTTATTAGTTTCCTTATTTTAGACTCCTTATATTAATAAGGTTAGGGGGATAATTTTGCCTATATATATATAAGAGCTTTGTACAATATTTCAGAGTTCAATTTAATCATTCGATTATTTATTAATAAGATATTTTGGTTTTTTAATTATTGTGAATTCCAATATTTATTTGGTGGATTCCAAATAATTAACACGTTTGTTCGAGCTAAATTCGAGTAAACACGTGTTCGTGTGTTACGAACTAGACACTTTTATTATTATCCACGCTTTCATCATGTGTCAGGCAGTATCAGAGCAGGCTTTTCTCTTCTCTATATCTTTTATTCATAAACTTGGGTGATGTACTAGCTACTAGGGAAGATTTGGATATAGCAAATCGACGACTTGACTGTCTTACTACTCAGATTGAAGAGATTCGTCAACTGTTTTCTGGCGGGTGTTGGAAATAATGGGCAGAATGAATAACAGACAATCAACAATGAATGGATTGTTGAGCCTGTAGTTCGAAGGGGAAATAATAGGAGTGGTGCAATAGAACTAAGTGAATCGGAGTCAGATGAGGAGTTCAAAGTATTGCCGCGTAATCCTAATCATCAAATCTAAAATACCTTTGATGATTCTCGATCTCGAATTAAAGCAAACATTCCTCTGTTCTTTGGAAACATAAAGATTGATGACTTCTTGGATTGGTTGGTAGAGCTTGAAAGATTCTTTTAAATTATGAATGTCTCAGAGGACAAGATGGTTAAAATGGTTGCATTCCGTTTGAAATCTGCAGTA